AAATGAAATCCAGGCAATGGGAGAGCATTGCAAAATGACATCCGGTGACATGAATCACTTTTATGAAATAGCTGCTGCTAGAATAGTAAGGCTAGGTGCTAGACAGTAGATCATTAGCAGCAGCCCTGGTAATTCCAGCAACTTCTTGCCACACAAATCTGCAGGTAGCTATCAGCTCTGAGATGTTTTAGGGATGTACATGACTACAATTCATTTAATACTGTGAATGTTTCCAGAAAGGGAGAGAGGATGCTCCTCAAGCAACATGTTCTACTGGCATGATTGCCTAATATTGCTCTCCCTACTCAAAATTCTCACCAATGCCACAAAGTTTTATCCATTTGAAGCAAAGGATCAGATGTGCACCGACCCCTTTTTCACAACCATCAAGTGAAATTCTCACCAATGCCACAAAGTTTTAAGTTTTATCCATCTGAAGCAAAGGATCAGATGTGCACCAACCCCTTTTTCACAACCATCAAGTTTTAGGACATGATTTAGCTGCTTAACAACAAAAAAATCTTGTCTTCTGGGATCTGGGGAAAGAACCTAGCACCTAACATGCTTGGAAATGAAAAAAAGAGTTAAATTCTTCATCTTTAGAAACTCAAATGTTAATAAACCTATTTGAATTTCTCAATCTCTTCCTGAGTGATGAAATCCCTATCTGTACAGGGTTTAATTTGTTGGTCTCAGGAAGGGTGCATTCGGAGTATCCAACATGACATCTCCAAGCACCTATGAGTATTTCTGAGCATTCAGCTCAGGAGACCAATGAGCAGCTCTGCAAATGGCATCAAAGGCTGTCAAACTGTGGTGCCCTCAATACTGATACCAAAGGAGTGTCTGACTTGCTCTTTTCAGCTGTTGGAATTTAGCCTGGAATAGGCGACTTTATTATAAGAAATATGCGCTTAATTTAAAATAATTTCTTTGAAGCTTGCCCGTTGTGAAGATAGATTTGTCCATTTGCACAAGGAGTAATTTACTCGGCCCTACAAGAAGCAATAACCCACAGAACTCATGAATGATCATTCTGGGTCAGCCAAAGTCCATCTAGCCCAGAGTGGCCCTAAGTATCTAGGGAAGACTAAGACCATGGTTTGCTCAATACTCTCCTAGGCTCTAAACACCCTCTTTGAGTGGCTTTTACTACTTCATTTAATGCCCTCCAGGTTTTGTATAGAAGAATTAGCCAACACCTACCAGGCCATTCACAATTCTGCCAACCTCCAACACCAACATCATCCCTTTCCACACCAGCCAACCCTAACCCATGCAGTCATTCTCCATAAAAAGCGACTCCTCTGATCTCCTTCCTTGTCTTCCACTGAACCCCAGGTAGGACTTTTTGGTTTTCCATCATTTTCCATTTTTATTTCCTTCTCTAATTCTTAAAGCTTGCTCCCAAGTCACCCTGCCTGTAGCTTCCTAACTCTTTTGGAAACAGCTCTAGTATCCAAAAATGTTTCCTTCAGATACCAAAGTAAGGGTTTATATTAATACCACCATGCTCTTTCTATCAGGAGAACCTTACATTTCGAAAGCACAGCCTTAGTTTACACCTTCCTGATTTACTCCACGCTCAAAAAAAGCTGAAGCCAACCTACAGGATGTCCCAGAAAGCTGAAAAATGTTAAGTCCTCCCTAACAAGACAGCAGATGTTGCAGTTCTGTTAAGAAGCAAACAACAGCATCGATGTTGAACAGAAACTTGTTGCACAAGCAACTCCTTCAGACCCAACAAGATCTTCTCTGCCATCCTGGGGAGAACTGCAATGTTACCATAAGCAACCACAGGGTACAAGTGATGAGTCAACATGGGCAAAATTAGCGTGCAGTGTGCCCTTGGATGGGTGGCTAGAGCTTGCAAGCAAGACGAATGGTTCCTAACCTACAGCACACATCAAACGCAATAGGATACATCGTTACCTTCTAACCATGAGGAACCTAAAAGCAAAACATTTTATGGAGATTTGCCACCTAGGAAGCAGCTCCCTTATGAGGAAAAGCTTTGCTTGTGAAAACAGCAAGTCAGGCTTGTGGAGGAACTTGGCACGATTCCCCTTCTCCTATTATCTATATTCTCAGTCCTGTCTGTCTCCTTCACCCAACTGCAGTCTGAGGCTGCCGGCAAACTGAGCCTCCTGGAACCGTTCATTTTATAGGCCGGTCTCCTTCTGTCTTAAAATGAATAAATAAATAAAATTTCAAGTCATACACACGGGTAAAAGAGCATGCTCTATCTCTCTGAAGGGAGGCTGGACTCTACAGACCTTACAGCTGCCAATAAAGTCATTGGCAGTGGGGCACCTGCGTGGGACAGAGTGACTTCATGTGAACAGACCTCATGTGAACAGAGAAACGGCCAAGTGGCCTCAGATTTCCACACGGATTATTAATGCAGTGCAAAATAGTGATTGTGCAATTCTTACTACACTCAATTTCGTACTATATAACCAGCTTTTACATTTCTTTGGCACCACAAGTCAGATTTTCCAACGTGCAGCCTAGGACTGTTGCACAGGGAATTACAACCTGAAAGGATAAATAGTTCACTAATAGCCTGCAATGACACACCAGCTATTACTCTGCCATTTCTTGGAATTCTTACTATACCAAGTAGGAAATAATAGACATTGAGAAAAACAGCAGTGCGGCAGAAATTTTCCATTTAATTGCATTGCCTGTTAAACCAGCTTGAAAAATAGAAGGCAAATTCGTCTGAGTAATTACAACATATGGGATTACAAATGTCTAATTGGCTTCTAGCATCAAAAAAGAGCATTGACTAATTGAAATTAAGGCAGTCATTCTCAGCCATTGTAAATTAATCAAGAATGTGTTCATGGGCAGAACACAGACATCCCAAATATCAGAACATTTCTGGTTGATCTTTCCAATCGGCAGCACTCTCAAAGTAAGTCACCATCAGAAAAAGCCTGTGATGATACAAAACAAGAATAGTTATTTATCTCACAAAACTGTATTGCTGAAATTTTGAATATTCACTATTGTAGCTGAAGGCTTGGTCAAGGTAAAATTTCAAAAGAATTCTGTGTTAAATGCACATGGTTTCCTGAGATGTCCAATTTAAAAGAAAAAAGTTTGCATTTTCTCATTAATTGACTGCATTTTTCATCTTACTTTCAGCTCCTTCATCCC